TCTGGATAGGGCCTGAGGTTGTGCATTTCTTTCTTATTTTAATTGTCAAGAGGGCACATGCCCTTACCAGAAAAAGATGGAGACAGGGAGAGGTAGAAAGCACCCCCCAATGGGACATGGCCATGCCACAATCCCTTCTCCATTTCTCTATCCTGTTGCGATTTGGGACACTCATGCTCACATATCCAGGATGTTTCTCAAGTTGCTGGGGTCAGAATTTGAAGTGAGAAATCAGTCATGTGGGATCCAGCTCTCATAACCACTAGGCCACAGGACTGTCCATAAAGGTGTCCATTTCTAACCAGCGTTCAGCTGAGACTGCTGCTGTTGTTCCAGGAACCATACATGGAATAGCTTGAGGCTAATCCAGTCCCCATTACCAGGGAGCTTCTGGAAGTAACAGACCCACGATTGCTCTGAGTTTTAAAACAAAACAAAACCTTCAGGGCAAATTCAAATCCATGCCTCAGGAATGCTTTAGGAGGACAAGAAATGACCTGGACCACACTGATTGCTATTTTTCCAAAATTCGTGTTCAGGTGTGAGACTTTCCCTGACCATTTTTTTTTTTTTTGAGAGATTTTCACTGTAGGGCGCGTGCGCTCGCCAGACAGACAGAGAGAGACATAGAGACAGAAAGCGAGAAATCACCCCCCAGGGGGGATGGTCACGCCGCAATCCCTTCTCCTCCATTCTCCTCTCAGGATCTTGGGCACACACGCACACGCGCCCGGCGTGAGTTTTAAGCCACCGGGTCCGGGACACGAACCGCGGTCGACTACGTGGGAGTCCAGCGACATAGCCATTACGCTAACTGCTGGTTCCCTTTCCCTGATCATTTTTAATTAAAGTTTCAGCCCCCTACTCTGGCACTTCCTATCTCCTTTCCTTGCCATGTTCTTTTTAGCACTTGGCATGATCCCATCAATTGATCTGCTTTACCAATTTACCTCCTTTACTGTCTGCCCAACTCCCATCTCTGATCCAGCACATAAATCCCACCAGGGCAGGGAGTTTGTTTTGTTTTGTTTTGTTTTTTTCACTGTTGTTTCCCTCCTGCCTCTGATAGTGCTTGGTCCATCGTAGGTACTCAATAAACATTAGCTGAATAAAGGTACAAATGGTTCTGCCCATTTCTACAAGAAGCTGCCTTTCCATCCTGGGTAGCACCTATCTGAAATTTCACCTGTTACTGTCTTCTTCTTCTTTTTTTTTTTTTCAAAGGTTTTACCTTAGGGTACATGCCCTCATCTGAGAGAGACAGAGATAGAGACAGGGGCAGTGACAGCAAGAGGGAAAGTGAGAAATCACCTCCCGGGAGCATGGCCATGCCATAGTCTGTTCTCCTCCATTCTCCTCCTGGCATCTTGGGCATGCATGCACATGTGCCTGGCATAATTTTCAAGCTACCCGGTCTAGGACTCAAACCATGGTTGGCTATGTGGAATTCCAGTGATGTCACTGCCATACCATCTGCTGGTCGCTTTCACTGCTCTTTACACATGCACTCCAACTTCACTGAAATTCAGTTCTTTCCAGGTGTGTCTCTTCTAAACCCCTTGACAATGATACAATGATGCCTGTATGCTACGCCTCTCTGGCCCTCTTCCAACTCTTCCGTCAGCCCATAATTGTGTCCAAAACTTTGCCAATCTTTGAAAACACATATAAGTGGCCATCTAGCCTCACTAAAATTAATGCAGAAACCACAGGATTTTATTCACGGAGGAGGAAGTTTGAACTTCAACTGCGACAGCACTTACACATGCTTGTAATGACGTGCCCTAGCTAGCTCTGGGTTCTGCTGTCGTCTGTACGAGACGAGGCTCATGAAGCATGCCGGAACTTCCTAGCAGCTGCAGCAGCTGCGGTCACCATTTTGGCAAGCTTTTCTGAGGGCTGCGCTAAGCGGTAAGATCAACAGTGTAATCCAACCACAGCTTGGTTTGAATTGTGCTTCCTACATGTCCGAAGCCATTTTTGCACATGATGTAGTGGGAAGGGACGTTCTTTGATGAAACATTGTGATGTGGGATGAGGACATTTCATTGATTCCTTTCAACAGCCCTGTGGTGGGCGCTAGGATCACGCCCACTTTGCAGATGAGTGAACTGAGCTAGAAGATGACAAACTTCTTGTTCGAGCTCACATAGGGAGCTCAGTAATAAAACTGGGACCCAAACTCAGTTCTAGCTGCTTCCAAAGCCTGCAGTCCTTGCAGCCAGCCTTCTCCCCCAGCCCCTCACCCCTCCTTCAGCCTCCTCTCTTGCCCCTGGACAGGGCCTTTGTTCATTAAATCCTATAACAGAAAACACAAGGGAAGGCCTCCTGACTTCCACCTCTAGTGCTGAAAATGAGAACAGCTTGGGAAATATTCAGCCTCACTGACTCCTGGTTGTGTCCCTGTCATCTAATGACCTGACTTCAGGTGGTATGGTATTAAGGTGCTGAACTCACACATACTGACAACAGTCTGAGCCCTGGGCCCAGTGGCTTGAAAATCACTCAGGGTGGGACCAGCAGTTAGCATAATGGCTATGTCGCTGGACTCCCACGTAGTCGACTGCGGTTTGCGTCCTGGAGCTGGTGGCTTAAATTCACGCCGGGCGCGTGTGCATGCGTGCCCAAGATCCCGAGAGGAGAATGGAGGAGAAGGGATTGCGGCGTGGCCATCCCCCCTGGGGGGTGATTTCTTGCTTTCTATCTCTCTGTCTCTCTCTGTCTGTCTGTCGAGTGCATGCGCCCTATAGCGAAAATCTCTCAAGAAAAAGAAAATCACTCAGGGTGCGTGTGTGCGCAAGCCCAAAATCTTGAGAGGAGAATGGAGGAGATGAGATTGCAGCATGGTCATCCCTCCCCCAGGGAGTGGTTCTCATTTCCCCTCTCACTGTCTCTCATTCTCTCTCTCTCTCTCTCTCTCTCTCTCTCAGCAAGTGCATGTGTTCTATGGCAAAAACCTTTTAAAAAAAAATGACCTGACTTCAAAGCTTCCTCTTGGCAAATAGGAGAATGTGAAGTAGCTGTTTCTCCCATGCAATGAGGTGTCTAGATACAGGTGAGCAGGTCTCCAGAGCAGCTGGTGGGCCAGGAGATCAGCTTGCAAGCTAGACCCAAGGGCCTGGCCATGTGCCTCTTGGAGTCACTAAGACCAGGGGCCACCAGAGAGCTGGGTCCACAAAGACCAAGGTGAGGACGGTGGCCTTGATATTCTAGTGCTCAGTGATTTCTGTCCCCTTACACCATGGAGCTTAAGGCTCCTTAGGGGCTGAAATTAATGAATCCCTTCCACAATTCAAGGAAAGAGGGGAACTCAGCCTTAACGTCATTACTCAGGTAAGAGCGTTACCTGAGTCATTACTGTGGTTAGCCATGTGAGATCCAGGCTGGGGTGGGGTGTGTAGAGATGAGGACTCGCCCCTGGAGCTGTCTCACCTCTTACCAACCTAAATGAAAGTTTTCCGCCTGGGTTTGGTAAGGAAGGGCAGGGTTAGAGATGAAAGAGGGATTTCTAGAATTTTTTTTATTAAAAAAAATTTAAATTAAATTAATTTTATTTCATTAAAATTTTAAAAAGTTTATGCCAGAGGGCATGCACATAGAGAGAAAGGGGGGTAGAGAGAAAGCACTCCTTAATGGTCACATCACATTCCAGTTTTCCTCCATTTCTCCACCCATCAGGATCCCAGGCATGTACGCACATGCCTGGCATGTTTTCTAACCCACCAGGACTGAAATTCAAACCATTGTCAGTTATGTGGGATCTGCTCCCTCTGCACAGAGTTTAACCACTGAACTGTGAGACCAGCCCTAGAATCTTTTAAATTAAGTGACTCCTATAAGGCAAACAGATGCACATTCATTTGCAACTATTCTATGCTGAATGTTGTCCATTATTTTATAGTAATTGGACCTGACAAGGTATTCAGTACATGTTTACAGAAGGAGAAAGAAAGACCAGACAGAAAGGCGTCAGTGCCTTCGTATGGATGACTGGATTCTGCACCAGGCACTGTGCTCTGTACTCAGTGAGCTTGTTCGTAGAATGCTCACCACCATCTGAGGCAAGTAATTGTTACTCCTTTCTCACAGATGAAAAAATGAGGGGTGGATATGTAAGGCGACTTGCCCAAGGTCACACAGCCACTGAGTGGCGGCGCCAGGATTTGAACCCTGCTTACTCTGACTCCAGAGTTCCTGTCTGGTGTCACCACTTTTCTCCTGCCTCCCTCCTATTTTTTTTTTTTCCTCCCTCCTCTTTGCCAGCCTTGATCTGGAATGGGCCTGAGGAAGAGGAAGGAAGCGTGGGGTTTAGGTGGTCCAGCTTTTTCACCAGAACTCGAGACCGACATGCTGACGCAAAAGTGAACAGGAGTTAGGAGGTCCAGGGTTCAATTCCTGACACTACTTCCTAGCTCTGACTTTTCCTTGCTGAGACTCAGCTTTCACATCTGTAAAATGGGAAGAATTTTAACACTCTTGCAGAGAAGGACCATGAGGACAAAGAATAAAGGAGAAAAGGACTTTGTAGACTCTAACTCAGGGATCAGCAAACGATAGCTGGGAGCCAAAGCCAGCCTGCAGTGTGTATAATAAAGTTTTATTGAAATAAAATTTTGTCATGCCAGTTTGTTTCTGTATTGTCTGACTGCTTTGGAGCTACAGGGCAGGGCTGAGTAGAGTTGTAACAAAGTCTAAAATATTTACTCTTGGGTAAACTGGAGAAAAAAGTTTGCCAAGTGCTGACCTTAGATGTCATGAATATATGAGGGGCCACTGTGCTTCAGCAGACAGGGTTATATATTTCTAGAACCTTCCATCAGCTCTGGCTCTTACTCAGAATTGCTCTCCCTGACCCTACCCAAATGTAGGAATCCATTTCTGAAAAACAAAGCCAGCAGCTCTCTCAAGAGTCAAGAAACAAAATGCTCAAAGATTTTTCAGAGCCCATGGGGGCTCCAGCTGACATTGAGTGTTGTGGAAAATTAAAATGAACCACTTACTTGCAGTTTTTACACTTGAGGCCAAAAAGCATTCCCTTCCCACAGACTGTGCATGTCTGAGACATCCAGTACTTGGTGGAAAACCTGTGGAAAAGAGACAAAAGGTCCGAGGGTAAGCTGATGGCGAGCGATCTGTCTCTAGGAGGATGGACCACTCGGAGGATGAGCATGTGGGCCCTGAATTCCAGCCTGACTTCTTCTGAGATACGTGACTTTATCAAGTTGCTTGAACTTCCAGAACCTGTCTCCTCATGTGTAAAGTGGGGATAAATAATTTATTCATCTCGTAGGTTGTTGGGAGGATTAAGCAAGGTCACAGGTGTCAAGGGCTTTGCACAGCTCCTGGCACGTAGTAAGTGCTCAGTGAAATGAATCGGGACTATATTATTCCCTTGAATACTCAGACCGGTCATCTGTTCATTCAACAAATACTGCCTGGTGGCCTACTATGTGCCAAGGGACAGAGAAACGGATAGGGCTGGAACTGTTCTCAGAGTCACAAAGTGTGTGGGGGGGGTGTCTCCCAAAAGCCCAGATGACCTGTTATCCTTCCCAGCAGTCTCATCACCTGGGAAGATTTTTTTTTTAAGGGGGTTGGGGTTCTCCTCCCAGAAGAGCTGAGACTCCAAATTTAAGAAGTAGAGAAGATTCCCTGAAAGTGACACCAGCAGCTCCCCTCCCTCCCCTTCTACCACACCCTCTGTGAACATAATGTGGAGATCTCCCATACACAGCTACAAACTGGACGGGCAGGGGTGCATTAACTTACTCCCTGGGCACCCCCACACCACACTGCCGGGTGCTTTCTTCCCCAAGAGATACGAGACAGCAACAAGGCTAGGCCGCGGCAAAGTATTGAAGGTTGCTGGGTCACAGTCAATTTTAATTTTCAATTTATGTCACCGTCAGCAGGAGTTGTATCTAATCTCCACTGCCTCAGAGTGTCAAGAAGGAAATGGGAAATGATTACATAACGTGGAGTCTGAGAATTTGGAGGGAAAGGTTGCATCCCTCTGCTGTACCATCTTGCCCGATCTGGGTCAGCCAGTCTCCAAGCAGACTGAGCTGCAGCCCAAAGCCTCCATAGCTAAGCAAATAGCAGTATTCTAAGCAGAGACGCTTGTTGCCAAGAGAGCGCTCCCTCTCCTTTTGGACTTGGGGGTTAGTTAAGCTGTTTTCTGGCCCTTCTGCAAAGCTGGCGAGTTTAGTAGGGTCTGTTTTGCAGGATTTACCAGCCTTGGGGGATGGAAAATGGGCTTGTGTTTCACCCCACAGGGCAGGAGGGGAGGGCAGGCAGCACATGTAGTGGCAGGCAGTTTTCTCCTTTCTAGCCTCCTCTTGTCTCTGAGATCAGTTCTTCCTCTTCCTCACCTCTGGCTGAGGTGACTCTAATGACAGTGGATGGGATTTTAATTTCATTTCTTCACCAAGGCTGGGGTGAGTCCAAGCCTCTCCTTCCTGGCATCAAGCCCAGAAAGAAACGCGGGAAGACTGAAGAGTAACGGGTCATCCCAAATCCCAGCTACTTGAGGAAGAGGTTCCTGATGTCCGAGATTAGCAGGTCGTTTCTCACCTCTGGGCACCAGCATCTGAATTTGAGGTGCCACCAGATTCTGATATTACGGTGAGAAAGCCTGGAGGTGTGGCCGAGTGGGGACAGTGAGTGAGGGGCTGAGGATGGAGCTGAGCCAGGGGTGTGGCCAAAACAGGAGTGAAGTACCAGGGGAATGGCCATGAATGAGCCAGTTGGGAATGTAGATGAGCGAGGGGTGGGGCCAGTATAAGGGTAAGGCAGATCCAGGGGGTGTGGTTTATCAAGGGGCATGGCCAATGTTGGGGGGGTGGCCCTGAGCCAGGGGGTACCCGGAGGAATTAAACAAAAAAAGGCCTTCGCTTTTGATGCCCTTTTCTCTGCAGCTCATCTCCTGACCACTGACATGTCTATCACATATTTTTCACTGCCTCCTCCGATGTTTTCTCATCTATCTTAACAACTATCCTGTCAACATACTTCTTTCAAAAACCGTTGATGAGATGCCACTCGCTGAGAAGACTCGCTCCTGCCTTGCCCCCAGCTATGGTGATGTGTTTTCCCTGGTCTTTTCCCCCTCCCTTACCACACAGATCCCTCCGTACTGTCATGGTCTGTTAACTGTCTGACCCTTCTATAGATCGTGAGCTCCCCAAGGGCAGTGGCCTTACGACTCATGGCCACAACTGTGGCACAGAGACTATAAATACTGGTGGGAAGAGTCCATGAATGAGTGAACAAGGCCCTTGCCGGTTCACAGGGTCTTGCACGCAGAAAACTCTCAGCATCGGTGTCAACGGAACACTAAGCGCTGAGCTTCATTAGCTTTTAGACCCACTGCTGGATACCACAGGACCTCGGTTTCCCTATCTGTTAAATGGGCATGACTACACTTGCCCATTACCCCGCTGTGTCTGTGAGGAAATGGTGAAGACATGCAGACGAAACGTAGCAAATTGAATGTGGAAAGTTAAAGGACGTGTAAGGGATGATTAGGAAAAACAAACCTTCATCCCACAAAGGGCAGGTGTATCCCAGCAGGGCTGGGGCTCTGGACTGACCTAAATTTCAACAGAGAATGTGCACTTGTGTTTAGCTGGTTATCTTGTCTCCCCTGGGTGGAGAAACCCCAAGTTAGGATGGAATGCATTTATCTTCACAATGATCCTCTTTACTGAGGATGTGCCAGACCTGGGGCAAACCTGGCAGAGAAGAAAGAGGCATGGAGGATGATGATACGGGAGCTGGGGCAGAGCACTCTACCCAGCCTTTCCGGGCCATGCAGGAATCCGGCCTACCTGTGCTTGATGGAGTTGCCCAGGTCTCTGCGAGGGATCTGCGGGGACCAGCGCGGCACTGACAGCGTGTCTACAGAGAGAGAAGAGAGGAGGAGAGCCTGTTATAAGGAGAGCTGGAGGCTGGGAAAGACTCTGGCCAAGCCCTGGACCAAAAAAAATGAGGTTTGCTGGCCTCAGTAAAAACACCAACCATCATCACTTGCTAAACCAGAACCAAATAGAACTGGTTTAGCTGGTTATCTTGACTCAAGGTCCCCTTAGAAGAAGCCAGCTATGGATAGAATAAATCAATGTCACCTCCACTGTGGAGTGCCTAGTGTGTGCCAGGCGTGTGCTAAGTTAGCTGCTGCAGCCTCAAAACAACCCCAAGAGTAGGGGTCAGGAATAGATGAGGAAATTGCGGCTTGGAGAGGGGAATTCACTTCCTCATCTACTTGGCGGGCTGCACAGTAGCTGCGAATCCAGGTGTGAGGGACTTCAGAACATGTGCCCTTGTACGCAAAGCTGTAACGCCCTCAATTTCAAATAGTGGTCATGCAAATACCGCTTTCCTAACTTTTTCCATGCCTCCGTACAACCCATAAGATGACTTGTATAATATTTTAAGTTGAGACCAGTTTTGGTTAAAAAAAACATTTATTCTAGGAGCAAACTGTATATGAAAAATTGTATCATTTTCTTGTTGTATATTGTTGATAACTATTTTTAAAATATCTGACCACATACCATGCTAGAATGTCACGCTAGAATAAGTTGATGGATGAATGAAGTGGATGGATGGATGGATAGGTGGAAAATGCATGAGTAGGAAGAAGAATGAATAGATGGATGGATGGATGGATGGATGGATGCAAATAGAACTGGTTTAGCTGGTTATCTTGACTCAAGGTCCCCTTAGAAGAAGCCAGCTATGGATAGAATAAATCAATGTCACCTCCACTGTGGAGTGCCTAGTGTGTGCCAGGCGTGTGCTAAGTTAGCTGCTGCAGCCTCAAAACAACCCCAAGAGTAGGGGTCAGGAATAGATGAGGAAATTGCGGCTTGGAGAGGGGAATTCACTTCCTCATCTACTTGGCGGGCTGCACAGTAGCTGCGAATCCAGGTGTGAGGGACTTCAGAACATGTGCCCTTGTACGCAAAGCTGTAACGCCCTCAATTTCAAATAGTGGTCATGCAAATACCGCTTTCCTAACTTTTTCCATGCCTCCGTACAACCCATAAGATGACTTGTATAATATTTTAAGTTGAGACCAGTTTTGGTTAAAAAAAACATTTATTCTAGGAGCAAACTGTATATGAAAAATTGTATCATTTTCTTGTTGTATATTGTTGATAACTATTTTTAAAATATCTGACCACATACCATGCTAGAATGTCACGCTAGAATAAGTTGATGGATGAATGAAGTGGATGGATGGATGGATAGGTGGAAAATGCATGAATAGATGGATGGATGGATGGATGGATGGATGGATGGATGGATGGATGGACGAATGGATGGATAAATGGATGAGTGGGTAAAGGGATGAGTGGGTAAAAGGATGAATAGGTATGTGGGTAGATGGGCAACTGGTGGGCAGATAGATCTATGGCTGAATACATGGATGAATGAATGGATGGACAGATAATTGAATGGAAAGAAGGAAGAAGCAATAAATCATGTAGACTTCTGCCTAGATGCCTGTCCCCACCTGATCTTCTCTGTCTCGCCTAGGCAAGGTCCTAACTTCATTGTCACTCCATCACCGAGTTCCAGGCCTTCTCCTGCAGACCCTGAGCACCCCTTCTTCACCCTGAAGCACCACTCTCCTCTTAGACCTGGCAGGCCCTGGAGAAGTGTGAAACAGCGGCAGAAATGGACTAGTGCTGCCCGTGAACTCCCCACCAGACAGGGAGAGAGTGAGAGAGCGGCTGACCCACACACCAGCTCTCATTTCTCAGGCCAGATGGACGAGCCAGCTCCCTGTTTTCAGAGCTGCAGATGCACGCCTCATTTTTCACAGCAATTGTTATGGAGTGGTGTGCTCATCGGGGAGCTGGGCATGGCAGACCCTATCAGGGAGCATTTAACCCTCAACCCACTCTCTCCTCTTTTCTGTCTAATGACACTGTCGGCAGCCATCTGAAAGCAGTTTCCAGAAACCCTGATTCTGCCCTTGTAAAGCTGGGACCCTTTCTGAGAGAGCTAATGATTTCCCAAGCCTCAGAGGGCAGAGAAAACTCGAGAGAGAAGCAGCGTGATGTATCAATCAAGATCTCAGTCTGCGGGATTTCCTCTAGTTTAACTAAAAACTAAATGCCATCAAACTCAAGCCCATTTTACTACTTGTTTCAGTTTCCGAGGGAAACAAAAAAGACATTAAAAAAACAAAAAACAGTTAAAAAAGAAAAAAAAAAGAGCATTCCTTCCACCTTATACCCTTAGGAGACTAAAGTCAGATGTGCGAGGAAGAATTGCACCTGTGAACTCCTAAAGATTCTCTCTCCAGTGCCGGGGAGGGCACAGATAGGAGGGCTAGATGGAGAGGAAGGATTAGCTTCCTCATGGGGAAACTACACCACTAGGAGTGCCAAATGGGCTTCATCTCATGGGCCATTCACTGTGGTGGACTCAAGGGTTGTGTTGAGAAGGATTCTGAGGAGAGAGCCCCGAAACCGATGACAAATGATTAGGGTGCCATAAACAGAGTAAGGGCGTGCCCGTTAGTCTTGTCACCTGTGCAGAAAGAGGACCCACACCTTCATTCTCCATCACACCTCACACTTGGTGCTTAGGGCAAAGCTGAGTACTTGACATGTTTGCTGAATCAAAGGTTATTATAACAGAATCACTGAGCTTATCGGCCACCCCACACAAGCTAGGTATTATGCTGTGCATTTATACCTGGAGGCTATGCCCCTGGGCAATCCATGCTAATCCCACTGTGCAAGGGAAGCCTCCGGAGCTCAGAGAGGTGCAGAGACTCATTACAGGTCACACAGGCAGGCACCAGCAGAATGTTGAGAAGTAACTGCAATTGGCTGAAAGTCCCCTAGGAGCTTCGACACCAGTATTCTCACCCAGAGGAGCTTTTGCTCCCTAGAGGGTATTTGGCAATTTCCGGGAACATTTTTGGTTGTCACCCTGTGTATGTGGGAGGGAGGCAGGGAGAGGTGGGTGGGTGCTCGCATGCCACTGGCACCTGGTACGGAACTGTTCAACATTCTCTGATACGTAGGACAGACCCTCACAACAAAATTAACTGGCCCGAAATGTCAATTAGCACCGAGGTCGCGAATTCCCGATCTAGCTGTGTCTCCACTTCTCCAGCCAACTACTTCTTCATCCCCAACCCACCCCACTCTCCCAGGGTCCTTCTGAAACTCAAGGCAGCGCAGAACAAATCCTCTTTTATTATAAGCACGTCTCCCTATTAGATTCGCATCCGAGTTATTCTGTTATTCTCAATTACAGCACCTTTTCCAAAAAAGTAGATGTAATTAAGTTTAGTAGTTTGGTTTCATTTCTCAATATCTGGTGGAAGGGATGAGTTCTGTCAATTACATTAAGCGGATGCAGCATCATTAGTCTCAAGCAATAATAACCTCCACACGGCTTCCGATGTGGGCGAGAAGATTTGAACTTTGAGATCCTCTCTTTACTTTTTTTTTTTTCTTTTGGATTTCATTAAACTTGCCAGTGCAAGCCTTAAAGCAAAAGGAAACTGTTGAAAGGGAAGGGGTGGGGGGAATCTATGAAAATCCAGGCGTTATCATAACAGAGAAGGCAAACAACATTTACCAGCAATTAAACCGATACAGAAACTTCTGTTTAACAATCAAAGCACCTATTAAGATGTCTCCATAGCTGAACAAAAGCTTCTTTTCTGTTCTAATTTTCTGATAACAAGTCATGCAGACACAGAGGCAGAATTTTGCACATCCCTGGTGCCTTCAGTCTCTGGAGTATAATAATAGACATTGCCTTTTGGAGATTTTTCATTTCTAGTGCCCGGAACGGGCAAGA